GTGGGTGGGCACTCAGGCGTGGTGTTGTGAGCGGTGCTATGGTGAGCCTGGCTCTGCAGTTTCTGTTCACCTGCCACCTTCTTGTCATGTCTGGGCATGTACCCAGAACTAGGTGGTGACTCAGGGGCCCCCACACCGGCTCCACTGAGACTGCACCATGTTGGGTCCCCCCGGGGGCAGCCGGGGTCCTGCCAGGCTCGTAGTAGTTGCTTTGTCCACTATCTGCTTGTAGAAACACCCCCACCTCTGGCAGCAGCCACCTTTCCCGCGGCCCTGCCCTTCCTCTTCAGGGACCTTTATGTCTTCCCTTCAGGGACAGATAGTCACGTTGTAACCAGATGCCCAGTGGTGTATGGACTGTACCAGCGCTGCCACATGGCACATGGGTGGTGGGCTGGCAGGTCGCGGCCTGGGGGTGAGGGCAGCGCTGGGCAGTCAGAGCATCACTGCCTGAGGGCCAGGAGCCCTTTTCTTGGTGCTGAGAAGACCCCAAAGTCCTCCTGAGCAAAGGCGAGCCTGACTGAACCGTGGCCAGCCAGGTGGGCAGCACAGGGGCGGCTCCATGAGGCCTGGGCTGCCTGGCTGCAGGGTGGGACCCCAGGCTGTGCCTCCTGAAGCAGAGCTGCCCCCCACCTGGCCTCAGTGCCCAGCTGCTCATGAGAGGGTTTGTCCGACTTCTGTGAAATGCAGATGGAGAGGCCACGTGATGTCACAGCAGCAGGCCCTCAGCAGAGGGGTGCTCTGGCTGTGTGTGGGGTACAGAGTGACTCTCCACCCTCCCAAACATGCATGCACGTACACACACAGCATACATGCACACAGATTGTACACACGTGTAATAACCACCCATGCACGTGGGCAGGGTGCTGCATGATGACTGCATGTGTTCATATTCAAATAAACCGACGTATCACCTGTGCAGTGTGTCCATGTTCACTGTACGATACACAGAACACACTCATGGATACCCTGTCTACACACGTGTGTACATACCGTAACACACACATACACTAGAACACAATCAGGGACACACTGCATACATGTACATGCCATAACACACATGTACATGAGAAAACACACATGGACACTACTGTCTACACACATATGTACATGCTGTGACACACATGTACACAAGAACACTGTCTGCATACGTGTACATGCCGTAACACACATACACATGTACACAAGTCTATATGCCCTCACCTTTTACATGCATGTGTGAGTATGTACACACATGCATGCCTACATAAGCAAACACATTTTGTGAGTACACTTGCACCCATCAGTGCACACCCACTTGTGTCTATAAATGCACTCTCCTGTGTGTAAATGTGTCTTACACACGTCTCACATCTTACGCTGACTGTCTCCTTGACATCTTGGGGCTCAGGAGCAGTGGGTGTGAGCCCGTCTTAAGAAGGTGGATACTGAGGCCTGGAAGTGTCTGCTGGGGGCTGAGGAGGATCGGAGCTCCTGGCAGAGGGTGGGGTCCTGGCCTGCAGAACTCCACTCAGGACTGTCCCCTCCGGGTGTGTGCCCATGTCCATGTCCGGTTGGCCTTTGGTGGACAATGGCTCTGTGTGGGTTACAGGAGACCATGATGCTGTATCTCATCTGGACAGCCCGGCCCTGGTCCCTCCATCCACTGCCCCTCTAGATTGTCATCCAGACCGGGGTGTGGCTGGGGTGCTGACCGCTTCTTTCTTCTCCTCTTTCCAGATAGATTGGATGAGGTCATGGCTGAGCAATCGGAAGAGCCCGGTAGGCTTTGCCCATGCGGCCGGGGCTCCCCTATCATGGTGGGTGGGTGCTGGAAGTTTCTCCTTAGAGTGGGGGTGGTGGGGAGGGGATTACAGGTGAGAGACCCCTCACCACTGGGCATTGCGGCCTATGGGGCTTCTTCCAACATGCATGCAGGTCCCTGCGCCCTGCCCCCTGTATCGGAGAGTTCTCTCCACTGTCCAGGGCAGCTTCCACCAGGGATTCCTCCTGCCTAACCCACCAGTACCCAGCGAGTGACCAGTGACCCATGGCACCTACATGTGTCCAAAAGCTGAGTTCATCCTGGTTTTGTGGGCAGATATGAGAGCTGGTCACCAGGACTTCCTTCTGCAGCACCTCAGGGAGGCCGTCTCTGGGGGACTTCCCGTCAGTAGCTGTTAACATGGGAGGCAGCTGGGCCGTGGGGGGTGGGGCACAATTCTGTGGGCAGAGGACGTCAGAGCCTGTGCGTGAGACACAATGCTCACCGCACTCAGGGAGGCCTCTCCAGCCGCTGCCCCCCACAGCTACCTCGGCCCCTCACCTTGACATGACAGCAGATACCTCAAGAGCCCTCTGCAGTGCTCCAAACTGAGACTCTCCGAGCACAAGCAGGGAAGGGCCACGTGGAGATGCCCACACAGAGGAGTGAGGAGAACCACGGCTGGTCCACGGCCCCTGCTTCCTCCCCCCAGGCCTCTGAGGGTCAAGTGTGGGAGCAGCTGCAGGCCAGCCCCCCTGGGGAGGGTGCCCGTGCTGCAGGGACCTCGCGTGTGGAGAGCACTAACACCCACTGGCTTCTATAGGAAGCACTGGCTCTTGCTTGCATGTCTGCTGGTATTTCTTAAGAGTAGGGTGACGGATAAATAAACCCCTGGTGACACATGTGCTTAAAGCCCTCAGCCACTAAGCCCCAAGGCTGGCAGTTCTAATCCCTCCAGATACACAGAGGAATCAGGGCCTGTAGATTCACTCCCTAGTTGACACCGTGTCCCCAGGAGCCAAGGCCCATCCAGCAACGACTTGCTTGCCCCCCCAACAGGGAAATGATTTCCCAGCCATCCCCCAGCCCCAGCAGGTGGGGTCCCTGACGCTGCTCACAGAAGGAAGAGAGCAGGGCTCACTTGGTGGGCGATTGGCCAGGCTGACTTTTACCCTCCCAAGGTCACAATCCTTGGGCTCCCACATTGCTGACATGTGTTGAAATCTCAGATGCTCACAGAAGTCAGCTAGGGACACTGAGGCAGGACAGGGGGCATCCCTGCCCCCACGTGACCAGTGGGTGGTGACCAGAGCTTGGACGCTCACTGACCATGTGGTGTTTTGTGACTTTGCAGAAAGGCTGTTGTCTTGCTTGAGTCCAAAGCCAAGCGACCTTCTAGAGAAGGTGAAGAAGGTTCTGGAAGAATACAGAGCCTGCCAGGCCTGCCCCAAGGAGCCAGCATCCTGGGGTGTGGACCCAGTGGCTAGTGAGGTGAGCCCGTTAGACCCAGAGGAGCCCAGCTTCACCCTGGACATGGAGACCAGGTGGTCAGACACTGAGCTCCTGGGCTCATTCCTGCAGTCCCTCAGCATCCCCGGATACCAGGCCTCCTTCCGCGGCCTGTACACCCTGTCCTCACCATGGCTGGGTGGTGTCATGGACGAGGAGACGCTGGCTGAGCACCTGGCGAATGCCCGGGAGGTGGCCAAGAGGGCCAGGCTGCCCATGGCCCTGGCCCGGCTGTGCTTCGTGCTGGCCCGGCTCTGTGTCCGGAAGGTCAAGCTGTCCCAGGCCCGGGTGTACCTGGAGGAGGCGCTGGGTGCCCTTGGCGGCCACTTTGAGGACCTGCCGCTTGTGGTGGCTGTGTACACCCACCTGGCCACCATCTACCTGAGGCAGAAAAACTGGGAGAAGTGCTCGCTGACAATGGACAAGGCACTGGCCCTACTGCTGGGTACCGCTGGCCCCCTGGATGGCACTGAGACTGAGCTCCTGCAGCTGGCCCTACGACGGGCAGTGTGGACACAGAGTGAGGGCGCCGAGGCCCGGGCCTGCTTCCTGCTGGCCCAGCATCACACTTGCCTCAATCAGCCCGAGGCGGCCCTGCCCTTCCTGGAGAGACTGCTGCTGCTACAGGGCCACCTGGGGCACCTGGACGCGGCCTGGCCCGCCGACGGCTACCTACTGCTGGCCAGCACCTATGGCCACAAGTGCCTGCCCCACCTGGCCCTAGGTTGTGTCCGTGTGGCCTCGCTGCATGCCCAAAGCTCCCTGACCAGTGTGATTCGGAGTGTGGATCTCGTTCTCCAGCATGCCCCCCGGCTGCACGGCCTGAGGCACACGGACCCCCGACTCCCTGCCCAGCTCGCCCCCTACCTCTGCCAAGCATTGGCCTTCATGGCCGCAGGGACAGAGCAGACATTGCTTGCCACACTCTACAGCAGCCTGGCCCAGGTGCACAGTCACCACGGCCAGTACGGCCGGGCCATCAGCCTCATGATGCGTGCTGTGACCACTGGAGCCACGGCCAACACCTGCCTCCTTGTGGACCTCCTGGTGGCTGTGGCCTGGATGCACATGCTCCAAGGCCAAAGCGTGGTGGCTCTGAACATCCTGGAATCCGTTAGGGATGCGGCCGTGGCTGACAAGCACCAGGAGGGAGTGGTGGCCAACATGGCTGCCATAGCACTGAGAAGGACAGGCCACACACGGAGGGCAGCCGAGGGCTACTACTGTGCCCTGCGCGTGGCCAGGCAGCAGGGCCAGCGGCGTGACCAGGCGGTGGTGCTGGCCAACCTGGGCGTGCTGTGTGTGCATGCAGGCACCGGGCAGCTGGCCGAGCACTACCTGGTGCAGGCCGTGAAGCTGTTCGCACAGCTGCCCAGTGGGGACAGCGGCCATGGCCTGATCCAGGCGCTGCTGCAGCTCGGTCACCTGTACGCAGGCACAGGCCGGGCCCAGCAGAGCAGATGCTGCCTGGAGTGGGCTTTCCTGGTCGCTATGGAGATGGGAAACTTAGAGAGTAAGTGCAATACCCACACTGGCCCTGACCGCCCTCGCCCCGGCCCCTGAGTCCCTCTGGGTGCCCCTCCCATAAAGCTGAGTCCTCGTAGGTCTCTACCTGTGCCCACACCTGTACTCATACCTGTGCTCATACCTGTGCCAACACCTGTGCTCACACCTGCCTGGGCTCCCTACCATCGAGATACTGAGTGGTGGAAATCATCCCACGACTTTCAAATGTAATTTTTTTCAAAGCAGTTTTGAGTTTATCGAAAAGTAAAGCTGAGATTGTGGGGCTGGCTCAGGAAGGGCAGGGCTCAGACCTGTTCACAGTAAATCTCAACAAAGTCAGAGGTGGCTCACGATGGTGATGCAGACACTGCCCTGCACCAAGCGACAAGCCCCAGACCAGGAGCTGTGGCGTTGATTCTATGCACCACCCGACTCTTCACAGGGGCTGGTTTGAGGATGTAGGTACCAGGTCTGGGGTTTGGGGCTTTTCTTTTGTCCTTAGGTACCTCTGGATGGACGAGAACTTCCAAAGCCTGGGTGAACAGGGAATGCCTTAGCCAGTTACTCCACCCAGGACGCTCTGCCCTCTGTGGGCTCTGTGGTTGTTAACATCACTGTGCCTGTGACTCCTTGTTACCACTGCTGAGTGGGACCGACACATTGTTGTTAGCTGTGGTTGTTGTTAGTGGTGATTATTGTGATTGTTGTTAATTATGATGGTTCTTAGCTGTGGTTGTGGTTAACTGTGATTGTTGTTAACTGTAGTTGTTAATGGTGGTGGTTGTTAATAGTGGTTGTTAGCTGTGGTTGTTAATAGTTGTGACTGTAAACTGTGGTTGTTGTTAACCATGATTGTTGTTAATGGTGGTTGTAGTTAACTGTGGTTGTTAATGGTGGTGGTTGTTAACTGTGGTTGTTGTTAACAGCAGTTGTTGTTAACTGTGGTTGTTGTTAGCGGTGGTGGTTGTTAGCTGTGGTTGTTGTTACTGTGGTTGTTAGCTGTAGTGGTTGTTAACTGTGATTCTTAGCTGTGGTTGTTGTTAACTGTGATTATTTAACTATGATTGTTATTAACTGTGGTTGTTGTTAGCTGTGGTTTTTGTTAACTGTGATTGTTAGCTGTAGTTAACTGTGATTGTTGTTAACTGTGATTATTGTTAACTGTGGTTGTTGTTAATGGTGGTGGTTGTTAACAGTGGTAGCTGATAGCTGAGATTGTTGTTAATTATGGTTGTTAACTGTGGTTATTATTAACTGTGGTTGTTGTTACCTGTGATTATTGTTAGCTGTGATTGTTAACTGTGGTTATTGTTAACTGTGGTTGTTGTTACCTGTGATTATTGTTAGCTGTGATTGTTAACTGTGGTTGTTAGCTATAGTTGTTGTTAACTGTGGTTTTTGTTAGCTGTGGTGGTTGTTAACTGTGATTATTAATGGTGGTTGTTGTTAGCTGTGGTTGTTAACTGTGTTGTTAGCTGTGATTATGTTTAACTGTGGTAGTTGTTAGCTGTGGGTGTTGGTGTTGTTAACTGTGGGTGTTGTTAGCTGTGATTATTAACTGTGATTGTTGTTAATTATGATGGTTCTTAGCTGTGGTTGTTGTTAACTGTAGTTGTTAATGGTGGTGGTTGTTAACAGTGGTTGTTAGCTGTGGTTGTTTTTAGCTGTGATTGTTGTTAACTGTGGTTGTTAGCTGTAGTTGTTAACTGTGATTGGTGTTAACTGTGATGTTAACTGTGGTTGTTGTTAGCTGGATTGTTATTAGCTATGACTGTTGTTAGCTGTGGTTGTTAACTGTGATTGTTGTTAACTCTGGTTGTTGTTAACTCTGGTTGTTGTTAACGGTGATTGTTGTTAACTGTGGTTGTTGTTAACAGTGATTGTTGTTAACTGTAGTGTGTCCTCACAGAGGAGCACCTGTGAATTCCCACACGTGCATCAGGCCACATGCCCCCATCACAGTGACACACAGAAATGCCAGGGTCTCAACAATGCCCCATGGTACCCCTGACCTCGACCCCACTGTCTCTATCGGTTTCCCTTTCTGGAATGCCCTGCATTTTGAGGCTTTTCACTCTGGCTTCTTGCTCAGCTGCATGCGTTCAAAGATCCTCCACATGCTGTGGTGTTAACCCTCTTCTGTCTCGGCTTGTCCTCCGTCGCCCGAGTGGACCGCTCTCTCTGGCATGTCTTCACTGGCTTTCTCGCGTCCTCGTCTCTAGGACCACTCTGGCCACACTTCTTCAGAATTGTTCTCCTGGCAGCCCACAGTCCCTTCGTTGTTCTCTGCCAGCAGCACAATCCAGAGGCATCACTGGGTCTCCATCAGCTTAGTCCCTTAATCTCTAAACTGTTTCTCCGCCCACACGGACCCCCAGCTTGAAGGGTGGGGGGATTGCAGGCGAGCAGGTGCGTGGTGGTAACCTTTGAACTCTGCAGTTTCACCCCTGAATGACACTCGCTCTGCCCCCACCCAGGCCAACTGCATGCCGTCCAGCGGCTGTGTCACTTCTATAGCTCGGTGCAGCCCGACGAGGCCCAGAGTGTCATCTACCATGAGTTCCAGCTCTCTCTGGCTCGGAGGATGGCTGACAAAGCGCTGGAGGGGCAGCTGCTGGAGATCATCAGCCAGCTCTACCTGTCACTGGGCACCGAGCGGTGAGGGTGGCTCTGTGGGGTGGGGGCGAGTGGCACCAGTGGGTCCATCTCCAGCTGACCCCCTCTCCAGCCGGTTACGCTGACCCAGGGCATCCACCAGGCTCTGAGCTGGCAGTCCTGGGTCCCTCAGAGCATGGCACATTCCTCCAAGGAAGTTGTGGTGTCTAAGCCATCCTGACCACGTGGCCTCTGCAAGCTGACCTCTCTCCCCCCCAGCTGCCCTCAGTGGCCCAGCTCTATCCCCAGGTCTGTGGCTCTGATGTGGAGTCAGACCTGACACCCATGGGGCACCAAGCCGCTATGCCACCTACCCCCCCACCCCTTGTCCCTCCTAATCCAGGGGATGACCATGACAAGTTGTGGGGACACTACATCTACCAGCCTGGCAGGGGCATTCACAGAGGGTGGGCCCAGGCTTCCAAGAGGACAAGAAAATGGCCACTGGCTCACCTCCATCCACCCCCGGGCTGGGGTCACAGTGGAACCTGGAAGCCCATGTTAGGGAGGGGTCCCCCGTTTGCTGCCACACCTCAGAAGTCTGGATGCATAATCTCAGCCTCACCCCACCAGACCTGCCCAGTGAGAACCTGGGGGCAGGTGGCCGGCCAGCAGGGCCATTCTAGGGATGGTCAAGTCTGAGGTCCCCCGCCACAGCTACTGAGTGTCTGGCCTGCTGGTGTTTCCTTTGCGTCCAGAGAGTGGAGGCCTGGTTGGGAGGCAGGGAGAAGGGCCTCCTGCATGGTTATCGAGTGAGGCTCAGGCTTGCTTGTGTCCCAGGAAGGACAGGGCCAGCCCCCAGAGGTCAGTGGGCAGTCTACACCCTCGGGGAGAGTTGGGATGGACCTGGGAATCCTAGTTCTGACCATCATGTCTGATCGCAGGGCCTACAAGTCTGCCCTGGACTACACCAAACGCAGCCTGGGTATCTTCATTGACCTGCAGGAGAAGGAGAAGGAGGCCTATGCCTGGCTGCAGGCGGGGAAGATCTACTACATCCTGCAGCAGCACGAGCTGGTGGACCTATACATCCAGGTGTGAGCGGGGGACAGGACAGGTGCAGGCGGAGGACAAGACAGGTGTGAGCAAGGGACGGGATGGGACAGGTCTGGGCGGGAGACAGGACAGGTGCGGGCAGGGGACAGGACAGGTGCAAGGGGAGGGGCGGGAGTGATTGAGCAGGGGGCAAGACAGGTGTGGAAAGGAGATGGGACAGGTGTGGGCAGTGGATGGGACAGGTGTGAGGGAGAGGAGAGATGTGGGCAGGGGACAGGACAGGTGTGGTCAGGGGACAGGATAGATGTGAGAAGTGGAACAGGAGAAGTGTGGGCAGGGGATGGGACATGTGTGTGGAGAGGGACAGGAGAGGTGTAGGCAGGGTACAGGACAGGTGTGGTGGGAGGGACAGGACAGGTGTGGTGGAAGGGACAGGACAGATGTGTGTGGAGGGACAGGAGAGGTGTAGGCAAGGTACAGGACAGGTGTGGTGGGAGGGACAGGACACGTGTAGGCAGGGGACAGGGCAGGTGTGTGGCAAGGGACAGGACAAGTGTGCTGAAAGGGACAGGACAGGTGTGGTGGGAGGGACAGGACAGGTGTGAGCAGGGGACAGGACAGGTGTGGTGGGAAGGACAGGAAGGTGTGAACAGGGGACAGGACAGGTGTGGTGGGAGGGACAGGACAGGTGTGGGCAGGGAACTGGACAGGTGTGGTGGAAAGGACAGGAAGGTGTGAACAGGGGACAGGACAGGTGTGGTGGGAGGGATAGGACAGGTGTGGGCAAGGAACTGGACAGGTGTGGTGGGAAGGACAGGAAGGTGTGGGCAGGGGACAGGACAGGTGTGGTGGGAGGGACAGGACAGGTGTGGTGGGAGGGACAGGACAGGTGTGGGCAGGGAACTGGACAGGTGTGGTAGAAGGGACAGGACAGGTGTGGGCAGGGAACTGGACAGGTGTGGTGGGAGGGACAGGACAGGTGTGGGCAGGGAACTGGACAGGTGTGGTGGGAGGGACAGGTCAGGTGTGAGCAGGGGACAGGACAGGTGTGGGCAGGGAAC